TTGACTTTCTAGGAAGTTGCCACGCGGCACTTTTTCGTAGTTGTCATAGAGGAATACCTCAAATTGTGTTAATTAAACCGCTTATAACAGTAATAATGCAAGAATAATGATATGTGAACGTTGGTACAATTCAGGTTGCAGTGTGGTAACATGAACAATAAGTGGGGGTAAGGCTGATTAGTAGCTTTGATATAGGTTCGTGAAACAATACTATCTGCATACGGAATTACATCAGTAGTGTCGCAAGAGACAGGCACATCGAGAGATTCATGTGAGGCCGTAATACCTTTCTTACAATAACAATACATTAAGGTTATACACCATATGTATGTTCAGGATATCGTTCCGATGAGGCTAACGTACTAAAGGATGCATGTAATTGCGATGAGGTTATCGCGTTGGGGAGTACATATTAGCTCGTGATAAGGTTAAGCTATAATAAACGCACAATAGGGCTAATATGTTTGGCTATAGTATGGCTATAGTTAATATGCAATAGTGACCACGTGCAAAAAGAGTTAACACCTTGGATTATCTACATGGCACAAGGTATAAGATGAACGGTGGGCCCTAACGAGACGAATAGGATAGTGACTCACAGGACCACTTAAGTGTTTTCTGGAGGAGGTGGTGCTTTGGTACCGGTCCAGAACAGAGCGAAAACATTTTTCGACTTCCGCTTCCAACTCCTGCATGACCAGATCAGATAACGAATGACGGTTTCCCAAACAACTTCATGCCCTTCGTGTTATTGTACGCGTGAAAGCTTCGAACATAAATAACACACAAAAAGTTCCGATTGCACAAAGGGGTTTGCAAAACGAAGGCTGTTTGTGCCAAACAAAGTTTCTTAGAATGAAATCAAAACATTTACATGCTGCAAGAATACAAAGCAATATGTGGAATAACGAATGTGGAGACTGAAGGAACACACGACAAGTGAAAGAATAGTAACTACTCTGGCAATAGTTGCTGTACCAGTTAGTTCGCAGGCGAGTTTATCACCGCATGTGCACAAGGCGAAACTGCACAATTTGCGCTAACGATCAAAACGGCTATTGCACGAATTTGCATTCGGTACACCTAATTTCTTGAAAAACATGGGGGTACAAATAAATTGGCGAAGCGGGTGCGCCACTTTGCGTTCCTGCAACAGATCACTGTTGGAAAACTTAGTTCCAAAGAAAACACTCCACTAGACATTCAACGTGCAAAAAGAGATAGCGAGGAAGATTTTAAAGTAAAACCGTATCCTCGCACAGGAATCTAGAACATCTGAGCGAGAAACTTTTAAAGCATTGTAGATGAGTTCCAAAAATCTAAAAAAGAGTCTCAAGCAAGTGCCTTGTGATCACGCATGACCTCGCCATATACTCGAGGGCGATAATTTCTGACTTGAGCCGGGCGCATTCCTGAGCCAGGTAAGACTCTGTGGAGCTGTTCTCTATGAAATAGCTGAAAGGGTTAAGGAGAATAAAACGACAATCGGAAAAATTATGTGTTAAGTTCCTCTCTGCTCAAGTTATGAGAGTATTTGGCAGAGTAGATTGCTTTACAGTTTGACCTATTGAGGTTCTGAAGAAGGCGAAACCATTGAAAGGTTGGACAGTTTTGTATTGAATAAACCTTGTTGCTAACATCTCCGCGCCTGCTTATTGAGACAGGAGTGAATTGTTTGATCAAGGCCGAGGCTAGTAGAATATCGGTCTTGAGAGGATGTTTGTGGTTTTCAGTCTTTGTTTTTTATTGTCAAAACTGCTTCTAAGGTTTGAAGTTAAATGTCTACTTGTCACGTAGCGCAACATCATCATTACGTTGGAGAAAACTCCTTCCAAATGAAGGAGGTGGTGGATGTTTAAGAGTAAACGATTATCTTCCTCTCACTGAGCAGTTTTCTCTGAGTATCGCAGGTGAATTTTGAAAGTACTTTTTCATACATTAACTAGTTATTTAGGTTTTCTTTAACTTCGAATAGGGAGGTTATCAGTGCCTGCAAAAGTTCTAGTACCGTGCGCTGCACATGTACTGCAACTGGATTGAAAGTGTTATTGTCCACATTGTCAAAAAACATTCTCTCGGAAAAGGGTAAACAGTTTTGTGGTTTAACTTTTCTTGACAGTTTCGAAGTTCCTTATTGCACTTCGAGGTGATGCTATAGGTAGCTAAAAGTTCTGTGCTACAGCAGTAGTGAGTGGTTCGTGGGTTCCTATGATTACATTAGTCCTTGTTCAGAACTTTTGTAGCATACGTGCGGTTTTCGAGTCAAACTTTGTCAATTAAACTCGTATCTATACTACGTACTTCGACACAATGCACTGACGAGGCTAGCACCGTGCTAGTGACGCCATCCAATACACGCAACGCCCCTGCTAGAATCTGCAAAGCACTCACCGTACCCCCATTCTTTTGGTGCTGTAAAATTTATATTGAGCCTCTCCGAGATCATATTACTCCTTCCAATCCATGAAAGAAGGTATCTTTCTGAAATAAAGATAGGTAACCACTAGAACGGCTGACCCATGATTCCTGGAACATAAGACCCGGCCAGCATCTCATGAGTTTCTTTAAAAAAGTGGAAAAATTCTAGAACGTAAACCGAACCAACGCGGAAATCCGAAGGTCTTGGCGGATGGAGGATGTGCGGAATCAAATGCGCAGCAAGAAATACCGGAATCCGCACAACATATGATATCAGGTTATGTAAAATAAGAATTAGCAAAATGTGATGCAATAAATAAGTGTAAAAATATAGCAAAGAAAGTAGGGCCTGCACCAAAGAGGGAGTACAGCGCGTGCCTCAGCGCACAACGTGGTTATGACAGCTCATGTCGGTTCCTTTGTAACAGCAATAACAAAAAGTGGTTGATTTCAACCATTTCACCTGTATCTATCGTCCCGCTGATCGCCGAGGGACTGACTCGAGCGGGCTCCAGTAAATCTTACATTTTTCCCTGCAGCGTGCTCTTCTTGCTCTAGAAAATCGTTGAGCATCATATCTTCCTTCTAAATTCTTCGCTAGAAACTCTGATCATTTGCTCGATGGTCCTCCTGCAGTGCGTTTGATTTCCCGATGAATCCAGTCACTAACGGCTTTTGTCAATCGGCTGTCATCCATACGCATTACGTGTCCGACCTCCCTTATCTTCGGCAGTTTGGCGTATAGAACGGCATCTTCGATTTTTGCTCGTTGACGCAGGTCGGATCCTCAGGTCTTTTCTCCTTACTTGTGTGAAACGGGACACTCCTAGCATCGTCCTTGCAATTGCGCGTTCAATAACGCTGAGTGACCTTTCATCCAGCTAACGCAGAGACCACGTTTCTAACGCTTACGGTAGGGCAGGAAATACCGTCGAGTCGAGAAGGTGGGCACGGAGTCTGGTGTTCTTTGTTCTCTTCACTACATCCTCAATGCTTTTGAAGCTTCCCAAGCCTCTTGTTTTCTTCTGCTCAGCTCTGGAGCTAAGTCGTTCATCATATTCATTTCCCAACCTATATAGACATAACTGGAGTATTCGAAGATACTAGTTCCATTAAGCGTGAATGGGGCATACGAAACCAAACCGTTCCTCATGAGCATCGTTTTTGCGAGACTTGGTCGAGGACCAATGTTTCCATAGGCTTCATCAAAGACCGCAAGCATTCGCTTCGCTTGGCTGATGTTTGGTGTTATAAGGACGATGTCATCAGCAAAATGAAGATGGTGTCACTGCCGACCGTCGATTTCCACTCTCATATTATCCCATTCTAATGTTCACATGACGTTCTAGAGGGTGGCGATAAATAATTTTGACTGGATGGTATCGCCTTGCCTAACTCCTGTTTTAACGTCAATGTTAATATCGGTGTAGAGTGGTGATAACTTGGTTGCGAAAATTTTATGCAGCTCACGAAGAATATTTGTATGGTGAGTAGGGACTACCTTATTGTCCACGACTTCCGTGACTTCTGTCTCATGTGAGTCCAAAGCTTTCCTTAAATATACGAAAATGAGAGAGGGAGTGGTCTCTTTTATTCTCGCCATGCTTCAATGAGTCTTGCTGTTGTTTGGATGTGGTCCATCGTACTGAATCCCTTTCTCAACTCTGCTTGCTCAAATGGCTCTCCATCGTCCAGTGCTCTTTCAACCCTGCTTAGAATGACTAGTGTGAAAAGTTTGTGGACGGCGAACAGCAAGCAGGTTGGGCATCAATTGCCGATATTGTGGAGGTTACAGTTGAACAGTAGAACTGTCTTGCTGTTGTCCATTGAGTAGGGACTTTGCATTCAGATAGGAGGCCGAGCCAGCGCGTTTGTGAGGATTGGCGGAAGGTTCTTCGGGTGTTCAAATTTTATCCTGTCCAGACCTGGTGTTTTACGATTTTTGACCAACAGCGTAGGACGTCGGATTTCGAAAAGAAGAACCGGTGGTACATCTATCCATCCTCCTTTGTTTCATATGATGGAAGGTGGTCGTGGCGATTGAAGAGATCTGAGTAGTATTCGTCAATGATTTCATTTTCATTCGCTATTGATTTCAATAGAGGTCGAAGGCCTAATCTTGCTATGAAAGTAAAACGGAAAAATCGGCGAGGGAGAACGAGAAGTCAATGTCTTTTTCAGGTCCTCCTTTCGTTTGCACTGGCAAATGCTACGCTTATGCTACTTTATAGGCGAATACAATCTTTTATTAATATCCTATCCTGTGTTAGTACATGCCCATCTATCTAGAGGATAGCAAATGTCACGCAATTGTTTCGTGATGAGCTTAAGCAACACTGGACATACGTTGTTTTACACGAAGTGGTCATGTGTGATTGCTATCGTTGCAAATCATTTGTTGAGTCTACATAGGTAAAATAGCAATCAGGAGGCATGTAGTATGCAGTCAGTACAGAGAACAATGTGTTCTACTAGACTGACTGATAGACTGTTAGATTCCAGTGAAGAATTTATTTCATAAGACGATTATTAAGCATTTTTATGAAAGATTTCCACGATCGTTAACGTTGCGATGGATTGCTTCAGCCGCCTTTCCCCATGGAAATGGACTGCGCTGTGAGTTCCACAGCCGCACAGGCATCTTGCATCATTCGAACCGACAAGTGCTCGGACGGTTCGTCACTCGGTTTCTGATCCATCGGGTAACCACGATTAGGAACTCTGAATGTGCTGTTTGGAACATAAATATGGATTTGAAAAAGATCCACATGGTTTGTAGACGACCTCAAAAGAGATAGTGCTTATTTCGGAAATTCATCAATCATAAGATGGTGACGAGGATAGTGCAGGTTGTGGCTGTTCAGTAGAAAAAACTAACCGAATATCGCCGAAGGGTAGTATCAGTTACGCAGAACACCACGTGCGTCGTTCTCGACAATTGGGGAATATAACTTATTGGTTGGATACTTGAATTGCCCGCCCTCAGTGTTTGTGCGGGCCCCAGCATAACCTACCATTTTTCGAAAAGTTGTTGGCTAGTCATTGCGGTTTTCTGGAATCCCAAGGTCAGTCTGGCCAAAGTCTGCCCCAGGTCCTCACCATCACAAGCGGTCGCAACCTTTGTTGATCAGAGGGAGATTTGCCACTATGTGACTAATTTGATACCAGGGTGGTGATGGATCCTGGCAATGGTTTACTTTTAGCTGGGCTTCCCGATAGAAACGCTGGAGTTTTTCTCAGTTTGCGATGCCTTGCCAGAATGGATTTCTCCGATTTACATCGCAGCCCAGCACGCAGGAGCTCTTCCCAGCCACGATGAGGCGGCAAACCGTTGGGAGGATTAGGGAATATTTAGTAACTCTATTAGCGAAAATATGTGCTGTAACCCGCTCCAGCTGATTCCAGGTGTCGGCAGATATTGGGTAGATACTTTGCAATTACTCCATAACGTTGTACACCAACACGATTAATAATAATAAGAATAATAATAATAGTGATA